AACCCATCACTGGTGAGGGAGACCTGCAGTGAAGCAGGGTGGTCTCACTCTTCAGTATAGGACATGTGTCAGTGTGCCTAGGACACATCCAAAAGTTGTTCTAAGTGACAGTAGGAGCTTGGGGGAATGATGTGAGCTGGATTTAAGTGTGACCAATGTAAGCGAAACTGTGGGCTACTGAGGTGAAAGAATACAAGACTGAACTCATGTTCTGTAAACTGTTGTCAGTAAGTCCTGATTGTCTTTCATGAGATAAGAACCCTATTTTCTTCATCATTTTTTTTTCTGGTTAGTTAGATTAGGACCTTATTATGATGTCGTCTCGCTAGAAAGTTGTAGTTGTGCCCTGGAAACTTCATAATGTGAAAGCTGCATAATATGTGATGTCTTTTTGAAGGTGGAAGCCATCCCTCCAAACTCAATCTTTAAAAGATATTATTATTGTCATCCAAATATTTAAAGGTCTGACAATTTTCATCTCACCTTGATAAACATCAGTTATCTAGAATCACTTTTCTATCTAGAAGCTCATCTCTTCTATTGATTTGTAGGATACTGGAATTTAGATTCCAGCTACTGTATATTTTCATAAAGTGGGTTAACCTTCCTTAACTCTCTGGCTAGCTACTGGCATCATTATTTCTCTGTAGATTCATAGATTGTCATGACTGGGGAACTTTTGTTGAAATCTCTTCATTTTACAAGCAGGGAGACGATAGCTCTGGCCACATGGTGAGTTGATGATGTAGCAAGAAACACCCTGTAGCTGGTCCTCAGCTCCAGCCTTGAGCCCTGTGTAGCACCACACTGCCTCTTCCCTTAACCATGACTTTAAATTAATCTTGCCTCAGAACTGTGAAGCTTTCTACTTTAAGTTTTAAAAGAGATTCATTAATTGCATATTTGCATCCCCCAAATGGAAATACTGCACTTGTTGTTTTTTTAAGCCTTAACAAGACAAGTTGTACTTGAAGAGAGACTTATTCTAGTTTCCAGTCACAGAAGTGTACTAGAGGAGCTGTGGATGCTCTGTCTCTTGCCCTCTAAATTAATGATGGCAGAGGATCTGGCATCCTTTTCCTAAACTTCTTCTCCTACTCTTATCATTGCTTTCTACCAGAACAGTTTCATGTTAATTCTTTATGATCACTGGATCATTAAAACCACACAAGAACATAGGTTTTAATTCCTTGACAAATGTACAGGCCAGCAAAAAAAAAAAAAAAAAAAGGTAACTTAAGGGTTTATATTTACATACCATTTGAATATCCCAATGACCTCTTTAAACACTCTCATGTTTAATCATGATTTAATACTTTTTTAAAAAGTAAATACTTTGGGTATTTGGTAATGATTCTTTCTAGTTTTATAACATTTACTTCTTCAAATGCCTACTTATAAATAGCCACTTCTTATAATAATAGTTCAAGACAGATACATTGGAGCAATCCTCTCAAATGAAAAGATGTATTGGAATACCATTTCAGTCATTGTATCAAAGACCCAAACTGACAATGCTTGCATAAATATGATAGAAATTTCTTTCTCAAGAGATTATGAAATCCCTGAAGATTTTAGGAACGTAGGCTCCATCTATCTCATAGCTTGATGCCCTACTCTGCATGGTTGAAGATGGCTTGCTAGTTCTGAATCCATATTTCACCAGCAAGGGGGAAATGAAGGAAAGGAGGGCACAGCCATTCCTTTTAAGAGCACATCCATAAAGAAAATGTGGCACATATATCCCATGGAATATTATGCAGCCATGAAAAGGATGGCTTCATGTCCTTTACAGGGACATAGATAAAGCTGGAAACCGTCATTCTCAGCTAACTGACACAAGAACAGAAAACCAAACACCGCATGTTCCCACTCATAAGTGAGTGTTGAGCAATGAGAACACATGGACACAGGGAGGGGAACATCACACACCAGGGCCTGTTGGGAGGTGGGGGACTAGGGGAGGGATAGTAGAGGGTGAGGGGATAGGGGAGGGATAGCATTAGGAGAATTACCTAATGTAGATGACAGGGTGATAGATACAGCAAACCACCATGGCACATGTATACTTATGTAACAAACCTGTACATTCTGCACATGTATGCCAGAACTTAAAGTATAATAATAATAATGATAATAAAGAGCACATCTTGGAACATGCCACATCTCACTTCCCATTGGCTGAAACCTGGTCCTATGGCTACACCTTGCTGCAAGGGAGGCTGGGAAATGTAGTTCTTAGCAGCCATTTGATCAGCTAAAACTTAGAAACCCTGTTACTGACAAAAGAAGGAAAGATGAGATACCAGGGAACACCTAGCAGTTTCTGTCATTTCTAAAAGAGATTAAGTAATAAGTAACCTAGAAACTTTATCACTTTCACCTGTTAAACAAAATAAATTTGTCTTTAGATATGACAAAACCATGAGGAGAAAAACGTTAAGTGATCATCACCCCACAAACATACCTATTAAAATTCAACAAGACTATGGAAAGTGAGTTTGAGAAATCAAAATTAGTCATTTTAAACTTGTAGAAAGGTAATGTGAGAAAAGGCTTTGCTAGGCCAGAGCTCATGTGGGGGTTTGGCCCGAGCAGAAAAAGGTTGCTATGGGGCATGCTTAAGGAACAGAAGGATGGTGGCTGGCTGCTGGGGGTGGAACCAGAGGCATCACTTGTGTGCACTGGGCTCAGCCATGGATCTACGTTGCAATTGAGAGGTAGGCAAAATTAACCACCTTAGTGATAGAAGGACAACTAAAATAGAGGCTACAGGGACTGACGAGGATTCTTTACTAGGGTTTCTTGACTGAGGCACTTGAGGTGCAAACTACCATTGCACATAGCCATGGAGCCCACTCACTGAAAACTCCAAGATAAGAGTAAGGTAAAATGCATAATGACCAGGTGAGACTCTGGAGAAAACAAAGCAGCAAATGAGGGAGAGGGAAAGAGAGAAGCCAGGACATTGTCACTGGCCCTAGTCTAATGTCAGGAGATGAGGGGAACTAAAACAGCAAGGTGAGCAAGACCAAAGAGTAGCGTCCACCATAGTTAAGCTCATTGGCAAGTCAACCATAGGCTCTGGGGTAGTTATAACACTCCAGAGCCAAAAACTCCTCTTAGTAGATTGTAAGACCTTTGGCTCCTTGCAGATATTATTAATGAAACTGCTCTGAAATTGACAAGGAGAGGTATAGGCCCTAATGGTCTCTTAACCTTTTTAAGGACTAACATTCAATCTTAACAGTCAGTTAGGAAATATAGTGTTAATACTATATACAAGAATCCTTAGCACTAGATATTTATGTTGTTGGCCTGGATGTTGTCATATTTATTTAAGAAATATTTTATCTGAAACTGAAGATGGCTCTCTCCCATGGACCTTTCAGCTTCATGAGTCAGTGCATATTGCCTGAGCTTTAGCAATAGGAATACAGATTTCCTAGTTCACTATATCTGAGTGAGGCCTTCATGATAAAAATGTTCTTGCAGAAAGGCAAAATTGTATTAATGCAGTGTCAAACATCGGCAGAAAATTAGAAAAAGATTGCAGACCAATATGCAGTCTTGAAAAATGAGATGACTCAAAAGCTTGAGATCATAATATATCAATAATGAAAATATCCTATATATGTAACAAAGTGCTTTATTCATTGGTTTGGTTTTAATAAACACTATGGAAGATGTTTCATTTTATATGTTACAAGCAAGCAGGTTTAGAACATTTTAGTATTGTTATTGTCAACTTTGTCAAAATACAAAAAAAAAAAAAAGAGAAAATTTTAGTAACTAGTCTTGTCTTAGATACCATGACACAAATGTTGTGAAAATGAGAATTGAATGCAGATGTTTTAATTCCGTGTTCCAGGCACTTTTCCTTGTGTCATTTGGCTCATCTGAGCCGTAAGCAACATCATGAGCTTTCTCATTTGTTCATGCATTCATTCATCAACTATTAGTGACATACCTCCGACGTGCTAATCATTATACGAGGCACTGAGAATGCTGTGATTGACAAGACATAGTTTCTCCCTCTGCTGTGATTGGCCAGACATAGTTTCTGCCTTCAAGGATGTTTACAGTCTGGCAAAGAACACAGGCATGTCTTCCATACTAGTCACGATGAATCAGTGCAATGTATGCTACAACGGCAGGAATAGAGCAGGCTATAGAAGCACATGTAAGAGGCATCTTACCAAATTATGACTTAGGCTTTCCAAGGAATTGCTATTTGCATTGAGTCCACAAATGTTATCAGGAGTTAAAGGAACAGTATTCCAAGCAAAAATAAAGTTATGCTTGAGAAGAAGTTATATAAAGTTATGCTTGAGAGGAAGGTCATTCAGGTCCAGAGGAGGGAAAGACCCAAAATCTTTACAAGTTCAACTTACTGTACCATTCCTACTACTTGGCTAATTAGAGACATCATCCAACTATACATTCTTCTATTCATCTATCTACCTATTCTTCCTCCTCCGTCCATCTCGCATTCTTTTATTCATCCACCCACCCATCCTTCTGTCCTTTCTCCCTCCCTTCCTCCTCTTTATTTCCTTCTTTTCTTCTTTATATCCATCCTTTCATCCATTCATTCATCCATCCATCCATCTATTTAGTCATGGTAGGTGCTAAGATAATTTATTGAATTAAGTAATTAATTTAGAAAGCCTTTACTGAGAGACCTAGTACATGCCAGGCATTGTGCCAAGCACTGTGGAGGCGATAAAGGTACATGAAATGTTATCCCAAGTGATATGAACCTTAAAATCTCACTGAAGAGATAACTTTTCACATACATTAATATGATACAAGCTGGATGGAACAGGTGTGTTAAGAGGTGGCCTAAGAATTTATCATTGGCTGTGGGGATATTATATGGAGGGAAACCTAAGTTTCAGTGATAAAATTAGCAGACTAACACCAAACTGATATCCTTAATCTTTTCCTTTTGTCTGTTTGCTTATTTGTTTTATTTTCTGAAATTTGTTCTTTGACAGATTCTGTGGCAACAGCATCTGGGCCACTACTAGTCGAAGTTGCCAAAACTCCTGGTGCCAGCCTTGGGGTTGCCCTAACTACCTCGATGTGCTGTAACAAACAAGTCATTGTCATAGACAAAATCAAATCTGCAAGTATTGCAGACAGGTAAGTATTGTAGAAAGTGCCTACTTTTCAGCTGGGCACAGTGACTCACTCCTATAACCCCAACATTTTGGGAGGCCAAGGTGGGTGGATCACCTGAGGTCAGGAGTTCGAGCCCAGCTTGGCCAACATGGTGAAACCCCATCTCTACTAAAAATACAAAAAATTAGCTGGGCATGGTGGCAAGTGCCTGTAATCCCAGCTACTTGGGAGGCTAAGGCGCGAGAATCACTTAAACTTGGGAGGCAGAGATTGCAGTGAGCCAAACCATTGCACTCCAGCCTGGGCAATAAGAGCAAAACTCTGTCTCAAAGAAAGAAAGAAAGTGCCTACTTTTCAAAATTGTATGTGTGCAATTTTATACATATATATGTGTGTGTGTGTGTATATATATCTGTATACACACACATATACACATATGTACACACACAGTTGTAATACACATATACACATGCATAGACACATACATACACACACAGCTCTCTTGCCCACTTATACAAGTTTCACAGAAAGAAGGGAGTTGCTGTTGTAGGACTTAAAAATTCGCCTATGTGTCAGCCACCTGCCATGTCACATCACCTCATCCAGATGTTTAGCGTGGCCCTTAGCAATAGTAAGAAAAAATAATAATAAGCAACTAAGCAAGTTTTCTTACTGTGTCCTAGGGCACTAGCCTATTCTTAATGTAGGGTAACTGAGTAGATCTTTATTAAACCCCATGCAGAGCAATCATGGGTTTTCCTGAATTGTTGACAATTAAATCCTGCTACCATAAAATCTGATTTCCTTGTTTCTTAAATAAATAAAACAGTACTTTAAAAAATATTTTTACAATACTTTTAGAAAGTCCTGTACTCTCATAGCATGTTAATCTTAGGATTTTACAACCTCCAGGGGTCTCTTAACACATCATTCGTTTCAATGCCACAATAAAAATGAAATTTCTTTTTTCTAATTAATATTTTATACTCGTAAGGTAAAAGGGGAAATAAAAAAAGACTATCTTTTCATCTAATAAATTATTTTACAACTTCTGGTAAGAAAAATCTCGTCTTCTGTAGCTGAAGCACTCCAAGTGCAAAAAAATGTGGAATTATATTTTAGTTGGAAGGGATGCCTTGAAATGCTTTTGTCTTGAGAAACAGGCTATTCACAGCGGCCATTTTTTGATATACCATACCTGAATGACCCGTCTCCCCTGTATGTTTCCAGCCCCCTTCTCCATGTACCCCTCAGCCTGCCTGGGAAACCTCCAGCCATGGTGCAGTGAACTGCAGCAACCCCTAGTAATGGTCAGTCCACAGCTCCACTGTGGTCTTGCCGACATTCAGTCCTGATCAGTGACAGCTATTGATCTAGGGCTGTTCTCCAGTTCAATGGCACAGGATGCTTTCATTTTCTTCCTCTGCTTTTTCCCATTCCACAGGGGATAACCAGTTTAAGGAGCTGTTCACTTGACTGGTATGTGGGGATGCTGACAGCTGTGCTGGCGTTTCTCAACTCATCCAGTAGCCAGCTCTTGAGTTCAGCAAGGTGTGGCAGCTACCCTTTCCCTGCCCCCATCTTTCCCTTTGACTCGCCACGCAGGCCTGGTTTTATTACTCACTTGACTCCTGCATAATTTCCACCATTATCAAGAGCTTTTATACTAATACATGTTCAATCCAGAATAACATAATAATAAAGAACTGGTGATCGTAGAGCTTGTGTGAAGATTTCAAGGAAGTATTAGTGAAATCTCCCTAAGTTATTCTTCATACGTAAAATAGACCCTATTCTAATTCTGAGAGTCGTGTTTGATATTTTGAAGATTTACCAACTCATGTTTATAGATAGAAAAGTCTAGAACAAAACAACACAGACAGAAGTCCAGGGGAAACATTTTCCTCTTCTTCTCTTTCCTCTTGCTCGCTTTCCCTCAGTTTTCCACACAAGCACTCCAACATAAGATTTTTTTTTTTTTAAGGAAGAGCAAGAGAAAACGTTTCCTTGAATTTTTCTGTATTTTCCACAAGGTTTTACTTCCTCATTCATATTCAAGGTACTTAAAATTTGATAGATGATGTTTCCTATAACACTCACTTTTCTTTTTCTTTTTTTTTTTTTTTTTTGAGGTGGAGTCTTGCTCTTGTCTTTCAGGCTGGAGTACAATGGCGTGATCTCAGCTCACTGCAACCTCTGCCTCCTGGGTTCATGTGATTCTCCTGCCTCAGCCTCCTGAGTAGCTGGGATTACAGGTGCCTGCCACCACGCCTGGCTAATTTTTGTACTTTTAGTAGAGATGGGGTTTTACCATGCTGGCCAGTCTGGTCTCAAACTCCTGACCTCAGGTGATCCACCTGCCTCAGCCTTCCAAAATGCTAAAATTGCAGGCGTGAGCCACCACGCCCAGCCCCTCCCTCTCTCTCTCTCTCTCTCTCTCTCTAAGTAAATGAAAACTATATGAAGTTTTAACTCTAAAGGACATGAAAGTCAGATTCCAAAAACAAGGGCACCACCTCTTACTAAGTATTTCTCCTTTCCGTAGATGTGGCGCACTGCACGTGGGAGATCACATCCTCTCCATCGACGGAACCAGCATGGAGTACTGTACACTCGCAGAAGCAACCCAGTTCCTGGCCAACACCACTGACCAGGTCAAGCTTGAGATCCTTCCCCATCATCAGACCCGGCTGGCCCTAAAGGGGCCCGACCATGGTAAGATGATCCACCTGCATCAAGCTCTTTCTCTGGCCCTCACAGCATTGCTCCCTTCAGCAGAGTTAGACAGCAGAAAGATACTGGGTCTCATTCTGCCTAAATGATTTCTTTCTTTTTTTGAGACTGAGTCTCGCTCTGTCACCCAGGCTGGAGTGCAATGGCACGATCTCGGCTCCCTGCAACCTCTGCCTCCCCGGTTCAAGCAACTCTCCCACCTTAGCCTCCCAAGTAGCTGGGATACAGGCATCCACCACCATGCCCAGCTGATTTTTCTATTTTTAGTAGAGACAGGGTTTCAGCATATTGGTCAGACTTGTCATTTCTTTTCAAAACAAGGTTATGTTTGTTTACTCTAATCCATTTTCCAAAGTCTTTTTTTTAAACCACAAATAATTTACTTGAAACCCTGAAATTGAGGAAAGAATTTTCTGGACAGTGCTATTTGGTATTTTTTTCTTAGAAAAGTCTTCGGTGCAAATTGAATGTGCAGAGAAGGCAAATAATTTGACTTCCTGGTATTTGTTTTGAATTTCCAGTCTATATGAAGGCCAATGAATGCAAACAGTAAAACTCTCACTTAAAAAAAATAAATAAAGGGGATATTAATAGCAGAGCCTTCCAATATTTGGCAGGGATCAAAGGAAACTAGTTAGATGAAGGATTGACTTTCTATATATTTTGTCTTTTGCCAGTGTAGTTTTTTTCTTAGGATAGAGAACAACCTATCTGACCAAACATCTTGTCAGGGAGAATCAGAATATTTGACTCCATCTGTTCAATAAAAAATGTCACCCGAAGGTATCTGCATTTTCACTGCCTTGAAATTCACAGGTACATTTGCGGGTCTTTATATCATCTACCTAGGCACCTTTAGGCAAAACCTGGTACAAGAAAGGAGTCTTTGAGCCCCAGATCAAATGAAGTCAAGTTCTACGGTGGGATCTCTGTTCCGACATCATCTTCTGCCCTGTTCCTTAAAGCAAACACCATTCCTTTGTACTCCTTGAAATTAGAGGCCTCACGGGTATTGTCAGGGTGGCCTGAAGGAGGATACTGCATTTCTGTATATTTAGACACAGTGCAGTTTTCCCTGGAGTTGAAATTTTGCTTTTCAGGGGACCATTTGTATCGTGTCTCCCACCTTCTAAAATGTACTGCACTTCTCCATAGTCTGGGGAGCGGGGAAGAGGGATCAGATAATTTTCATACTAAATCAGTCAGCTGGATCCAAGCTTTTTAATTACATGGAGCTTAGGCAGCCCTGAAGCTAATGAAAACCTCTACTACGACATTACCCTTATCAGATTTTAATTTTACACATTGGAGTAGAGAAATAATGCAGATAGGCAGTTTAGGAAAAGAAAATCAGGATCACTCTATTGGAATAGAAATGCAAAGCAGCCACAGGAAGGTACCGTTCACAAGGATGCACACTGTTCCTATCAGGAGGCCCTGTGGGCCCTGCCTGTACACTGGCAGAGAGGAGAGATTTCTGAAGCTGTTTAAGTTTCTTTAAATTCATTGACAGTCATATTGGATTTGGAGCACAGTAGGCCTAAGAATGTACACTGTGTAGTGCTGTCTCAGCACAGGATTTTGCTTGCTAAATTCTGTTCTCAGCGAATCAGAAATGCATACCGGACCCTTTTAAAATGTTAGCATCTTTAGCAACCTCTTATTTTTCTTTAATTGGCCCTATATATAATTCATAAATAATTCAAATGTTTCCAACCTATGGAATATTAAATCTTTTAACCTGCCAAGGCAATTTGAAATTAATTTATGTACTAAAATATATAAACCAAGAACGATTTTTTTTTTTGTCTTTATTCTGGAAAAGCTGATGTCATTTGTGTTGCGGGGATAGGAAGCTGATAGGAAGTTCAAGTAATTCTAGCTTCCACTTCTGACTTTATCCTCTATGTTTTCTGAAGGTTGATCATTGTCTTTTTTATCTAGCGAGTAGGCTTTTCCCCCACATTGCACATTAAAATCAGACTTGCATTTCCAAGAGGGAATAAATTTTGGCTCCAAAACATAGTTAAATTATAGTAAGGAATTTTTTAAAAACACACACAAAAAATATTACTGTGTTTACAATTCTCAAACTTATGTTTTTGACTAATGGAGTAGTTTAACAGTTTTACCCTTTCTGCACAAGAAAGTTCCAGTTGTTTTTTCCAGATCTCTGATGCCTGAACAGTGCATCTCTCAATGCACTTCCCAACTGTCCAGATTTTGTTAGCAGCAAAGCATACACCATGGAGTTTTCAGGTGAATGTAGGGATGAATATCTTAACTTGGAATAAGAGATTAGCTATGCCTTTCACTGATAAACAGCAGCATTAAAGAAGCTGAAAAAAATGAGTTTTCGATGAGGTTAGAAATTGTTCCCGCCTGAGGGTTTTCAGGAGACATTATTGTGATTGAAGGAAACTGACATTTTGGAAGGGAAAATGTGACCAAAGTCCCTAGGCTTGACACATTCAGTACCAGGAGGACCTTCCATTTGAGAGCTCCAGAACAATCACTGGTACAGCTGTGGTCTGCTCTTTCAAACATCCTGAGCAGAGCAAGAGGCTGCAATTAGAGAAGAAAGAAAAGTAACTTCTATATATCTCTTGAGACTGCAATAGTGATATCACCATGGAATGAGAGAAACATAATACTTGAAACTTATTGTTTTCTTATCTGTAACAAGGGACTTAGACACACCCATAGGAAGAGGTGGTATCATCTGGTGGCTGAAGCAGGGATTTTAGGATCACATGTCCAGGGCTTCAACTCTGACTCCACCACTTGGGGACCTAAGCAAGTTACCCAACTTTTTTATACCTCAGTTTCTTCATCTATAAAATGGGCGTCATAATAATACCTGCCTCGAAAGAATATTGTAAACATTATCTGAGCTAATCCATGAAAAAGCACCTAGCACAGTGCCTGTAAGTACTCAGTGAAAGTAGGCTGCCATTATTGGCACTATTAAATGAGAGAATATCTATAAATGTGCTTTGCAAAAGGAAAGGGCATGCCAAAAATGTAACATCTTATTATTAAACTCTGGAAACACTTGCCTAAGTATCAAGTACATCACTGTAAAACAATACATTTGGCATGTACATTCAAAATAGGCAGCAACTCTCTTCTCTAGCCTACATTATTTGTTCAACGCCTTTTGCATTCATCATCAATAGCATACAGTTTTGTGCATGATCTTATATCATTTTTGTCTCTTAATTATTTTATATGTGTGAAGATTTAATCCCCAGTAATAATTCAAAATCAAGGTAAAGGGTTTGACCTTTAACCTGTCTGCAACAATTGGCACAGCCTGGGAAGGCGAAAGATGGTAAATAATATATTTCTTATGGATTTAATAATTGTACTTGACAGTCCTTACAAAGGCCCAGTAATTTTCAAAGCACTCAATAAAGAAGTGGATCAAAAGGTGGCTGTAGAATTCCGAAGTCCGTTCACCGTACCCTGGCTTCATTTGAATTACAGATGATACTTTGTGAAAAGTATGCTTAAGTGTTTGTGGTTGTAAATTGGCTAGACCCAGTAATAGCTGTGTCTTGCTAAAATGTCTTCTTGTACACCCAAAGTAGAATGAGGATGGTGAGAGAGAATACATTAGGGATATCCTCTGTAATAAATACTCTTTTATCTAAAGGAAAATGCTGCTGCAGTGTTCACATAGACACGCTGGCTAGTATTCACATTCATTCCTGTATTTGTTTATTCATTCATTCATTTATTAATCATTATATATTAGGCACAGTTCTAGTTGCTAGGATATATCTAGTGAGCAAGAACGGCAAAGTGTAGCCCTATGCTTATAGAATTCACATTCTAGTATAGACAAATATTAAAAATAGATTAAATAAATAAAGCTGTTTAAGACAGCAATAAGTGCCATGAAAAATATAAAACAGTAATGAGGTGACACGGGGAGGGCAGCTCCTTCAGCCAGGGAGATCAGCAACAACAACTCTGAGGAGGTGGCACCTCAGCTGAAACCTGAATGATGAGAAGGAGGCAGTCATACAAGCAACTGGGGAAAGAATAGCAAGTGCAAAAGCCTTGAGGCAGGAAGGAACCTGAGCTGTTCTAAGACTAGACATAAGATCAGCGTGGCTAAAATATACAAATGATGGGGAAAATGATAAGGATGAAATTAGAGTGATAGGCAGGGGCTGCATTTGATTCTCTTTGTAATCCTTAGCTATACAGGCTGGACACAGTGGCTCACACCTGTAATCCCAGCACTTTGGGAGGCCAAGGCAGGCAAATCACCTGAGGTCAGGAGTTCAAGACCAGCCTGGCTAACATGGCAAAACCCCACCTCTACTAAAACTATAAAAATTAGCTGGTTGTGGTGGCGTGCACCTATAATCCCAGCTACTGGGGAGGCTGAGGTGGGAGAACCGCTTGAACCCGGGAGGCAAAGGTTGTAGTGAGCCAAGATCACACCATTGTACTCCAGGCAACAAGAGTGAAACTCCATCCCCCCACCCAAGAAAGTAATCTATTCAAACAGCAAGGACATGATCTAACTTATGTATTTAGGAGAACACCCTAGCTGTGTTGTAGAAGGTAGGTATGCAAGAGACGAATTGGAGAGCCACATCTGAAGGTGTTACAATGGTCTAGATGAAAGAAGTGGCAGCTTGAACTGGGGGGGGGGGGGGGGGGGGCGGAATCCAAACTACAAACAGAGCAGTTGAGTAGAAGGAGCAGGCCAGATCGTTTAGGGCAACACAATTATAGTGGCTATGAAAGTTTCTGCTGCAGAATTCTGAGAAATTCTCGAAAACTTAAGTGTCCAGCGAGTGAAATTTCAGTGAAAGATACATTCATTTCCTTTAAAAGATACTTTATTTTTGGCATGTAGATCGAAAAGTAGACAAATCAATATGATCACTCTGAACTCATTTGTTTTTATTCTGTGTACCAGCACCATGCTAAGCACCGAATTTGCCTAATTCTCATAATATTGCTGTAAGGTAGATGACTTCATGATCTCCATTTGATGTATGAGGAAATTCAGGTTTAGAGTGGCTGAGTAGCTGGCCAAGGTTATACAGAGAGGAAGGGCTGGAGGCAGAGCCGAAACCCAGGTCTGCTTCACCCCGCAGTGATCCGTCCATGCTAGTGCTTTTGTTTCATGTCCTGTTTCACTCTAGAAAGGATGCGAATTGACCAATTCAGCTGGTATCACAATTGATGTAACTTAAATTCTTGTCTAGATGACGCTCCTTTCAATGCACACAGTATTTCACCTCTCTACAAGAATAATTACTGTCAAATAATCCACATGTCAGACACCTAACACCAAAATCATGAAAGTAGGAGATATAAATTCATATGTTAAGCCAGGCGTGGTGGTTCATGCCTGTAATCCCAGCAGCTCAGGGCTGAGGTGGGAGGATCACTTGAGACCAGCCTGGGTAACATAGGCAGACCCCCATCTCTATACAAATAAAATAATAAAAAATTAGCTGGGCGTGGTGGCATGGGCCTGTGGTTCCAGCTACTCAGGAGGCTGAGGTGGGAGGATTGCCTGAACCCAGGAGTTCAAGATTACAGTGAGTTGTGATCACACCACTGCACTCCAGCGTGGGTGACAGAGCAAGACCCCATCTCTAGAAAAATAAAATAAGTTCATATGTTATTTTGAGTTATTTAAGATTATTAAATGAAAAACTTCGTATCAGACATAGTAACGAAGATATTGTTCATATTTCAGAACACTGGGTAGAATATCAAATCTTAACATTGAAACTAGATTGGAAGGATGATAAAGATTTTCTAAAACATAAAAGGGATGCCAATTTGAAATTTTAATAAAGTTTGAAGTAAACTTTATTAAAATTTTATGGCATCTTAAGGAAATATAAGAACATATGAAATATTTTAAGAATTAGTTATTTCGAATATGCTTTTTCAGAAAAATAAAATATAGAGACTTTTATCTTTTCCTTATTAGTTGGGATACACATAAGATACTGATACTGATAGATGATTAGAGTGGTTTATTGTTGAGGAAAATCAAGTCCAAGTGATAGATCCCAGTGTAATTAAAATGTCAGAGCAGTAAATTCTGATGTGTGACTAGTAAACCACTTGAATCATGCACCAATGTGATTTATTGCTCCTTCTTTTCTTTTTCTCAAAACAAGTGCTACTAACTGGCCAAGATTTGCAAATCTTTAATTACTAATTGTGTGCCATAGATCTTTATGGGGCTGACTTTTAAGTTAAAAAAATGTTTTTAATCTCTGCTGCAAAGCACTAGGGGAGATTAGAAATTGATTCAATAGTCATTTTAAAAGGAGAAAAAAATGAGCTGAGGAAAGACATGCATTATTCCTGGGAAGATGAAAAGTTTCCATCCTTAATGTTAATCATCTATTTTGCTGACCACTGAGAAAAGGGCAAAGCCAAGTAGATTTGTTTTTGATTTGCAAGCAGCTTTCTTTTTTGTTATACTTTTAATTTGGGCAATTCAGTTATTTTTCTTCTTTTTTGGTTCTTTGTTTGTTTGTTTGTTTTTCTTATTTCTCATCATCACTTCATATGGGCAGTGAAAATTCAGAGGAGCGACAGGCAACTGACCTGGGATTCATGGGCCAGCAACCACAGCAGTCTTCACACCAACCATCACTATAACACCTACCACCCTGACCATTGCAGAGTACCAGCCCTGACATTCCCGAAAGCACCTCCTCCAAACAGCCCTCGTAATGTTCCACGCTTTCTCCTCCTGGTCTTTTATTTCAATTAGATTTTTCTCATGCCTTCCCTTTCTCATCTTTGGCTTCATGGGTGTTGTTTTTCTGTTTCTTATAGTAGTAATTTATCATTTCTGACATCTCCTGGGTCTTTTTCTTTTCCATCAGAAAGCATTTGTTGTTAGGAAAGGATGTAAATGTTCAGAATGGTTTATATGTGGCTCAGGAAGTAACAATTCAGAATATTTTACAGAGACAGTGTTCTCAGGTCTTCTTTGTGTATTTGGAATCACTTATGAAATTCATGTCAGAAAATATCTATGAAAATGAGATTATGTATCTTGATGCATTGAGTTGTTTGTGGACAAAGTTGGTTTTTTGGGTTTTTTTTGTTTATTCAAAGCAATTCTCATAGAGTCTTTTTGTGTTCCTATGCACTTATAAAGATCCTTCTGCCCCCTCAGCATTTGTAGGCTTTTGTAAAGCATTGTCTTATTCTTCTGAGGCCTGCCCTCTGGCTGGCTGGGGTCCTTCCTAGCCATTGCTATGCATCATGTGTATCTTTCTGGATCGTTACTGATTGGCAAGTGTGGCGGGCTCAGGCCCCACCTGAGAGTGCTCTGTGCAACGTCTTCACTCTCTTACAGCAGCTTTGGTGTCTTCATCCTTCTCTCCTACCTCCATGAGTGCATACAGCCTGAGTTCCCTGAATATGGGGACTCTACCCCGAAGCCTCTACTCCACCAGCCCACGTGGAACCATGATGAGGAGGAGACTGAAAAAGAAAGACTTCAAAAGCTCACGTAAGTGAAACGACAGCCAATGGCATTTGGCCTGGAAAAAACCTGTGGGCATTGGAGTCTTGGAAATACTGAAATTGTGGGAAGAGTGTTTTACATTTGCCTAAGTGATCAGGTAGATGCTGAGCAGCTAACAGCTCTGTGCCAAAGACCATTGACATCATGCCCAGTATCTGTGTGACAATGACTGTACCCCAATATAACTTCAGACTGAATTCATTCATACTATCTTTGCCTACAACTTTTTATTTGAGATTTGAGATTTTTCTTGCTCTTTTGATGTCATAATATACCCAAAGATATGATTTTTCCCTTAAGACTCCTTTTATTATATCCTGGGTTGCTTTGGACATGAAACCTTTGTTCTTAGTTTCTTGTTCACTCTAAAGAAATTTCATGAAAATGATGCTCCTCTTTTGATAAATATGAGATTCTCATGTATTCATTTAATGCTATTATAAATTTCATGCTAAATTATATTTTGTGACCCTTCCTCCAAAAAGCAATGAAAAATATGAACATTCTTTTTAAACTACATCTCATTGCCCAACTCCAGTACCTTTTCCAGAAACCTACCCCACGGGTAATCACTGATATAACATATATTTCTTATTGTCTGCTCTAGCCTGAGAAAGATTGTAAGGATGCTCAGAATTACAAGCATCCTAAAGTCTAGGAATTTCAACCACGATTCTTGTAAAAATGATCTGGATGGCCAAACACGATATAGACTAAGCAAGACTAGAAAGATGTAGTTGGCTACTTGTTTTGGGATAGATGGTTGTCTGAATAGAGAGGAAAAAGGGGCGATTGAATGCCTTAAAAAGAAAGAAATACAAATCACTCCTACGTTTATGTTTTGGGTTGGGGAAGACCATTCTCCCTCATCATAATCACATAACTGTGGAAGAAGGAACATTGACCTTTCTAGCCAGACCTAATCATAGTCTAGAGAGTGTGTTTCTTGACTGTATCCCTTTTGATGGCCATAATTATGATTCCTACAAAGAAATTTAAAGAAGATAGGATCTCTTCCCGTGCTTACCATGGGAATAAAAATAAGGAACATCCTTAAGTTGCCTAAATAAAACCAAAGCAGATACTTCATGATAGGTATGGACTTATTGGCTTTTCAGCTTGTTTGCCAGAGATTCATCTCCCCAAGAGAATCTCTCTCCAGTCTCACCAGGGTCACCCTAAGTGCCCAAGACCAGCCATCAGCCACACTGGGAAATAGTTTCTTCATAATACAGTAACCTGAAGGTTTCCTGACAGTGAACTCCATTGCAAAAGACAGGGCCACCAATATGATTTGTACATGATTTAGACTTGCATATAGTTTTAAATATAAGGAGATTTGTCATCTTTGTTATATGAAAATGATGGTAAATTTGAAATTAGGAAAATGGAAGATTGAGTTTAGTAAAAATGAGAACAAAGTGTTCCCAGAGTCCCGTATATTTTTAGCTGACACTAAATTATTTAGTCCCGGAAGAAACCGATTGAAGGCAATATAGTGAACTCATTGTGAGCCTAGACTCTGGAACCAGCCTGCCTGGGTTCCATCCTAGCATCATTGCCTTCTAGCTGTAGGGCCCTGAGGAAGTTGCGTAAACTCTGAAACTGAAAATAGGGAAAATTACTTCATTGGGTAATTGTGAAGATTGCATGAGGTATGCGTAGACTGAAAATAGGGAGAATTACTTCATTGGGTAATTGAGAAGATTACATGAGATTGCATGTGTATATGTGTTTTAGAACAATACATGGTAAATGGTAAGCACAATTCTTAGCTATTTTGAATAGTTTGTGTTAACTGTCATGTGCCTAAATCTGAATGGTCACATGAAAAAATCTCTTGACATTGTTCTCAAAGTTTGGCCTTTTTCACAAGGGGTACATTTTGGCATAATAGGTAGGTCTTGAGTCTTCCATATAATGCCTTCAGGGTTTGTGGTGGGTATTTGTATATGAATTTTTTTTTAACAGATAATGGCTTCGTGTGTAGTACTCCCACAGAAACAGGCCAACAGCCCTTAGCAGGGAAAAGCAATTAAAATGAATTCATTAGTGTTCCTACTTCTGCTTCAAAGGCTAACATTTGTTTGTGTTAGTTAAGACTTGCTATGTTGATCAGGGACATTAGTGAATACAAATGAATGATAATATGTTTGACTATTTCAGGTTGATATTTACACATCTTAAATTTTGTAGTAGGAAAGGAAGCTGAGGCAAGGCGACAGTCGCTGATGTGCATAACCCACTCATAAATTCTCTCTTGAATCAGGACATTATTCTTCAACATGGTAGAAATATAAACAGAAACCTGGTTCAATTCATTTCTAGTTGTTTGTGTTTGCTGTAGACGTTAGCCACTAGAGCACCACTCACAATATACATACCAGAATGTTTATAAATGTGTCTCAGGAGATCATACATTTTGTATTTTATTCAAACAATAAATTCCAAAATGATATGAACTTTTATTTCCACTTCAAAAAGACCTGAAAAAAATGATATCATTGCAAAGGGTTTTTTTTAATGAGGATTTTTTTTTTCCTTTATTTCATTGCAGTGGTTTGGTATGGTCACATTAAATGTAAAGGTCTTCCCAAATAACTGAAAATAAAAGTTTTATTGCCACTCTTACCATACCATGGTTTATTTCCACCACTTTATTTATGTCTTTATTCTGTGCCACCATTTGTTGCCCCCTTTGTACTACTTACGTTTCTATAGCAACCAGGCCATTTGTATAGATGGCAAATCATGGCGAAAATCACAAATACAATAAAAAGTCTTTGCCGTATGGTGGTGACTTGAGGCGAGAGCTTGCAAAACAGAAAAGGCTCATATGTGTTTCCAATGCCAAGGAAGGACATGCCCAGAAAAGAATGAAATCTTCTCACATGAAAATTAAAACATTCTGTATTATTGATCAAAGGAGAAATACAAGAAGTCTGTATGTAGCAACATGTTACCAGCATTGAAACAGGAAGGCGCCATGTTTGTTTCATAGGGAAAATAATACAGCACAGTTAGGCTTTGAGGAGTGTCACAAAGCCCTAGAGGCATTGCCGAGCCATGTCATAGAGGGAGCCCTCTCATCTCTTCTGCCAGAATCTTACTGCCCTTTTCCTGGCTGCCTGGGCTGCCTCTTTTTCTGCCAGAGAGGCCAAGTCTCCTCTCAGAACCCTAACATCTCCCTGTAACAGCAGTGTGGCTGAGCAACGGGTCTAGCTAGTTTGCCCTGCTTTCTGTTCCCCACCACTGTACTCCAGGCCAGTGTAGAGACTCTCTCCCCAGTTTGCCTGAATTGCAGCAAAGAGTAGAAGTTAGAACACATCTCCAGAATGGTCTTTGCTGCTTTTGTCATCAGCAGTGACTACTACTAGGGAGGGTGCCATTGAAAAGAGCTGAAGAAAAGAAAATGAGAAAACCTAACAACTTTTCTGGTCCCTTCCATCGACCTAGGAGCAAAGAATGGAAGATAAAGGCAGCTACTGGTAAGCTTTTATAAGTGACCATTCAGGGAGCCCTGGAAGGGGACACCCTTAGAACTGTCCTTACACCCCCATTTGGACAAAGGAGCTGTTGGCCACCTCTACCGCTCTCCTGAACTGGATCACATGATATGCCATGTGTTGGGTCTTTGGCAGGTTGAACACTATAATGTGGAACACTTTAGTGAGACGGAAGTCCCAGATTACAGGATCAATAATAAAAACATATTATTCTTATGGGAGGCTCAGGCAGGTGGATCACTTCAGCCCAGGAGTTTGAGACCAGTCTAGACAACATGGCAAAACCCCATATCTACAAAAAAAGAAAAACATACAAAAATTAGCCTGTTGTGGTGGCTCACACCTATAGTCCCAGCTACCTGGAGGGCTGAGGCGAGAGGATTGCTTGAGCGATGGAGATTGCAGTGTGCCAAGACTATGCCACTACACTCCAGCCTGGGCAACAGAGTGAAATCCTATCTCAAAAAAGAAAAAAAAAAGAGAAAAGAAGAAAACATAAAACAGATTGTAGTAATAAATTTTGGGGGTCCTTAGCTCTGTACTTTTTAAATGCTTCTCATAGCTGATAGGAAATCTTGCAGCCTTCTGAATTAAATACACATTTGGTAAATTTTTAAACTTTTGGAGCTTTTTTTGGCTCCCCCTACCCTTTCTTACACTAGGGGAGGCAGGAATTGACAAAAATACAGTCATTCCCTGCAAACCTGAAGAGTTGTCAACAGAGCCCTCTATGTGAGAATGGGGACAGGACAGAGCAGGCACAAATCCTGAACACAACCTCAGCACACACCAGTTAGCAGGATTCAAACATAGTGTTTCAGCAAGTTAGCATTTTTATCTTCACCTTGTAGACAAGTCTAAGCCAAATTCGGTGGCTTGCAGCCTGATGACAATAGAATACCTTGCGGCAGCATCTGCTACCGGGGAGAGAATTCACCATCCACACTTTCAAATCATAGGGAAATACCCATCTTCATTTTCTGTTGCTGGCTGACCACATTAATGAAGCAGGATAATCAAGCTCATCTTTTTCTCCTCCAAGCTAATGTTGGTTTTTTTCTTTCCTTTGGTTACTCATTTTAAATCTACAATATATCTTTTTCATATCTGGTAATAATTTTCAAAACTTTCATATGTGTAACTAATCAATACATACAATTTCAAATAAAATTTTGCTCTTTGTCAGAAGATTCTAATATGTCAGAGGACTTTCAGAGTTAATTATAAAATCATGAATTATTTACTATAATAATTTATAATATAAATTATAACTTTATATAATTATAAACCAATACATAATGCATAAATTTATTTTAAATTCTAAATTCGATTCTCCAATAATTTTTGTCATCTCAACTTGCCTCCAGAGAGAGCTTATAAATTTAATAATACTCAAATTAGTACTTATTTTTATTTTCAAAGCCTTCTGGAGAATAAAATTATTCAACTACCTTCTCTGTTTCAAAAAACATAGCAACTCTTTCCTTTGAGAAGGCTTCACTATATCTAATCTAATCTCACCTGTTACTTTTTATTAAACTGACCTAATTTTTCTTGGCCCTTTTTTAGTGAAGATGGTAAACAGCTGACTTAAAGTTTCAAAAACAGCTTTTAACTCCAGTGAAGTAGTCCAACATTCTATATCAAATTGTAATCTCAAATGGAAAAAAATATTAATGTGAACCTATAAAAGAGTCAGGGAAAGTTTCCTGATTAAATCCAAAAAGCTTCAGCTAGAAGATAAGTGGAAGTTACCTGCCAAATAGGTGATGCTGTAACATAATATTCCCATCTGCTACGAGTAATAACTGGAATGCAACACACTCTCCAGATCCTTACTGACAGGAAACGGAATCTGCCAGTGGTTTGGTGCCACTGATAGCAAGAATTATGATCTAGAGAGTAATCACAGAACACTCTACATCAGCAAAATCACACTAGAACATGTGATCTGAATTAATACGTGACAGTCCATGTGTCAGACCTGGCAATTGTAACAAGCGTAGGATTGGAGGCTACCTTCACCCCGCACTGCAGGCCATGTTAGCCTTAATCCAGCTGAGACAGAATGAGGATGGTGCTTCTTAAGGAAAAGTCAATTTTTTTTTCTTACTCTTCCTAGACAAATGAACTACTTCACCCTTCCTTGCCCCATCAGCTGCAATTATCTGGGTCCTGAAGAGTGACTTTTAGTTCCTTATGGTAACTCAGGAGCATCTATGTGAACTGTTGATTCCAAAAAGGAATATGTGCATGACATCACAAAACTTGATTCATTCTTCATTTATTCAGCATTTATTGAATATTCCAGGCACTAAAATTTCAGAGATTAAAAGAGCTGGTTCCAACCTTTCAAGAACTCAGGGTCAAGTGGAGAGAGACAGGCAAATAGAGATCTGATAAATGCTGAAACCAAACCATGTATTAGAAATGTGGAAATGTAGAAAAGTAAGTACCTAATTCTGCTTGGATAAAGCAGAGAAAGGGACCCAGAGCAACAGCTGAGTGGCAGAGGGCACAGTAGATACAAAGACACAAAATTGCATCGAGTGCTGGGGGACATGGCACATGAAGGGGTTACAGAGGATCAGGAGAGTGGGTGGGCAGGAGAAAGGAATGGATGAAAGGTCCTATATGCTCTGCTAGGATTGAGAAGTTTGTTCTATAGGAAATAGGGAGCAATAGAAAATTCAAAACGGGGGCAGGGTTACCTTTGCATGTTAGAAAGGGTACTCTGGCAGCAGTTGGAGGTTGTTAGTATAAAACAAGAGGCAGGGTCACTAGTTGGAAGTCTGTTCAGTAATGTACTCTGGTGATGATGAGGACTTACTCTGTAGTAGTGGCAATGAGAAAGGGAAGAAGATTCGCTCGGTTTTGAAAACATTGAGTTTGAAGAGCCAATGAGACAGTTTATGGATGGGGATATCCATTGAGTAGGGAAATCCATCACTGGAGCTTGACAGAAACTAAAGGGAAAGAGTTGAGAAGATACATGCAGGATAGATACGTTGGGGCCTCCTCACATCGGAAAGTTTATCTGACAGGAGGAAATAATATGTAGGGAATATTGTGCATGTAACCCAGAAAAAAGTACATTAGAATAATTCAAATAAAAAATAATGAAAGCCAGAATTTAGGTACTGAAATTAAGAAGGGAAAAGAGGATTTTTGCAAGATATATTTCAGTGGTCATCCTGAAAGGATTTAGCAATTGATAGAATTTGAGATAATGGGGAGTTGTGAGTTAAGGCTACTTTGAGATTTCAAGCCTAGAGGACAATAAACATCATGGTCCTGGTCACAGAAATAATAGTGGCAATGAGAGAGGGAAGAGGATTCACTCAATTTTGAAAACATTGAGGAGTCAATGACAGTGTGTGAATGGGATACCCATCAAGGAGGGAAATCCATCACTGGAGCTTGACAGAAACTAAAAGGAAAGAGTTGAGACGATACATGCAGAAGACATATAGCCATGCTGGGAATGAATGAGTGAAAGAATGAGAGTAGAAAAGACGTAGGACACAACTGTGCACTGGAATGCGGAGGGAGGCAAAGCAACTGGCTGGGGCTGAAAAAGTAAGATGCTCAGAACAAAGCTTCAGCAAGTGAACGATTTTAGAAAGCAAGGGATGGTCCAATATCCAGTCACTGTGGGGTAGGTAGAGCAGATGAAGCCATTGATTTTAGCAGTCAGGAGGTCATTGGTGAGAGTAGTTTCAGTAAAGGGTGAAGGCAGAAGGTAAGTTTTAGGCAGCTTCAGAGTCCGTACGTATCTATACACAGTGTTCTGAAAGCTGGGGGAACGAGTAGGAAAGTTTGAAAAAAGCAGCAAAAGAGAAGTTTTTTCATGGCACAAAAGCATGGGGGGTGGAAGAGGATAGTTTTAAAAACACCAAAAGGGGGAATTAGCCTTGAAATGGGAGGAAGACTATATTCTCCTATAGTGGGGGGAAAAAAGAAGAGGGAACCGATAGTGATACAGAGGAACTGAGGTTAAACAGAATGCTGTTTAAGGAACTCTGGTCAAAGGGTTGGATCTTTTCAGTCTTACAGGAAATGAAGAGTAACGTTTGACCCTTATTTAGGGTAGAAACATTTGAGACAGATCCTTTGTGGAATGAAATAAGGTTCCAAAATATCACACAACAAATAATTTAAGGGTCTAATAGTATTGTCAATTCGTAGTGACTTTTCCTAGCACCCTTCAGCAACTTAGTAACAGCAGTGGGGTTGACTGGGCATTACCAAAGAATACAGAGTATAGAAAAAATCTCATGAGGTTTAAGAATCTTTGAGCCTAGGAGATGCATTATTAAAATGGTCGCCAGGGGTCCAGGTGGAGAGTGGGGAAAATGAAGCCGGCAAAGGCAATGGCTTTCCACCTGCGCTTGACTAGAGACCAAACTCAGCGGGGGCGGGGTGGGGACAGGAGGAATGATATACAGTTTAAATGTCATTGTGCCAACTCAACACTGGATTGAGGTTGAGGACTGGCATAGCCTCACCAGATTTAGATTAATTATTTCTTCAAAGCTAAAGGTAGGATTATTTAAAAGTCACAAAGCCCAGATGTAGATGGCTAAAGTGGAGAAAACATGAGACCAGCTAGCCCAACTCCCTTTTTCTTAGATAGGATATGGACACACGAAGAGACAAAATGGCTTACCCCAAGGTTCCCCCGCTTGTGCTCAGTGATAGAGCCAGGACTATAACCCACGTACCCTAACCCCAAAGCCACCCTCTTAAAGTCCCCACAATGATCCCTGGTTTGAGGAGTGGGGAGCCAGGGTGCAGGGATACACTGATGTTATGACTGAAATGTGATGAGTATTGAGAGATTCATTTATCTTTTTCAACTCTTGCTAAACCAGAAGGCCATAATTTAACCTCCAACTGTTGCCAATGAGTTTTTGTGCAGGGACAAGGTCTATTTTGCAAACGCTGGTATTCCTGGTGCTTGCTCCAACCTAAAGTCGTTATTTTCTGTTTCTCTAGTGTCCTTAGCCTCTAGCACAGTGGGATTGGCTGGGCAGGTTGTTCATACAGAAACCACAGAGGTTGTGCTGACAGCAGATCCTGTCACAGGATTTGGGATCCAACTGCAGGGCAGCGTCTTTGCCACAGAAACGCTCTCTTCTCCACCTCTGATTTCCTATATTGAAGCTGACAGCCCAGCAGAGAGGTGAGACGCTTTCTTTCACAGCATCATTTTCTGCTCTGCATTTCTGGTACCCGCTATCTTTGAATGGCTAGTAAATTATGAATCATTGCTCAATGCAGAAAATGCAAGATATGATGAACTCTCTTCTGATAGTAAAGTTTTATGTTCTTGATCAGGTTTGAAGAGGATAATAAGCATGGGTGCCTTTACCTAGCAGAGTTTGTCCATCAAGGGACTTGAAGCTATACTAATTAAAAAGGAGAAAACCCCATTAAAAAATATATCCTAAAGTTCAATAATTTCTCTGCCATGGGGGAATGTACATTCATCATTACTAAATATTGGTTTGGATCAGATTCTAACAATACCATGGTTATGAATTATTAATTATCTCCCTGGGATACATTAGGATCCCCCTGCTTACAATTATAACCATGAAATGCAACAGTGTAAGATGTTGAAGTTGACCTATGCAATGTCCACAGCATTGAATAAGCAAGACCAAATTATTCTGCTGTTTTGCAAGGATCAAGCAAGGTAGATTTGGCAAGCTCAACTTGATAATTATTTACTCTATCTACAACTTCTCACATGTGGTTCTAAATTAGATGTGGGGTGCTACAGATTGGAGACAGAGTGATGGCCATCAATGGAATTCCAACAGAAGACAGCACCTTTGAAGAAGCCAATCAGCTCCTCCGAGACTCTTCAATCACGAGCAAGGTCACGCTGGAAATCGAGTTTGATGTTGCAGGTATAATCATATCATCTCAAGTCAGTGGCAGAGTCAGGAGTGGACCGCACGTGAATTATATTGGTTATGTGGCAGAGAGGAAACTATTGTTTTATATGCTGAACATACTTTAGGAGGTTTGGGGTGTCATTTTGAATTGAGCTTTGTTTTGGATTATTCCTTAAAATGTCACCACAGGAACAACTGAAAATAAATGTGACAAATTGAATAAGTAATAGCAACAACTATAGAGGCCATAAAAATAAATCATGTGGCCTTTGTTCTTTCTTTCTTCTGTGTATTACAGAAACCATATTCTTCAGCCACAGAGACAAGTAAAGCCTCTCTTTGACCCTGCACACTGCAAAGAACACATGAAACTTCTTTTGAGAGTCATGAAAATTCCCTAAGTTTATTTAAGCAAGCCCAGTTGGCAAATATTTAGTTTTTAATGCTGAAGAGAAATGGCCGCAGATACTTGTTAAAAACGAAAAGGAAGACTTTACTGGAGACCACTACAGTAGGCGGTCAAGAATATTGCAGTAGGCCAGGCGGGGTGGTCACACCTGTAATCCCAGCACTTTGGGGGGCCAGGGCAGGTGGATCACCTGAGGCCAGGAGTTCAAGACCAGCCTGGCCAACGTGATGAAACTCTGTCTCTACTAAAAATATAAAAATTAGCCAGGCATGGTGGCAGGTGCCTATAATCTCAGCTATTGGGAGGCTGAGGCAGGAGAATTGCTTGAACCTGGGAAATGGAGGTTGCAGTGAGCCAAGATGGCACCACTGCACTCCAGCCTGAGCAACAACAGCAAAACTCCATCTCAAAAAAGTAAAAAAATAAAGAATATTGCAGTAGGAGGGAGAGGTTGAACCCAACTACAAATATAGCCAGGGCAGTTGGGAATTTATAGCCAGTGGACAAAGAATGGAGTCATTGAATGAAAAATTACTAAAAGGAACTTGATTAAATATCAAAGGTGGGGGGACCAAGGGAATTCTCCCTAAACTGACTCAGCAGGATTCTTGCTAAAATTGGGCTCCCATGGCCGGGCGCGGTGGCTCACGCCTGTAATCCCAGCACTTTGTGAGGCCGAGGCGGGTGGATCACGAGGTCAAGAGATCGAGACCATCCTGGTCAACATAGTGAAACCCCATCTCTACTAAAAATACAAAAAATCAGCTGGGCATGGTGGTGCATGCCTGTAATCCCAGCTGCTCAGGAGGCTGAGGCAGGAGAATTGCCTGAACCCAGGAGGCGGAGGTTGCAGTGAGCCGAGATCGCGCCATTGCACTCCAGCCTGGGCAACAAGAGCAAAACTCCGT